TCCCTTCCAACCCCTGACATTCTGTGATATCAATTACATTCATAAAATAAAAAAGCTGTTTCCAGTGATGACTACAGTGTGCTGTCATGAGATTAAGTATTTCTAAAAATCTCTTGCCTACTTATTTTCATGTTATTGCATAATGATTCCTGTGAGCAGTAGAAATACTCTTTCACACCAATAATCATTATTTTTCAGAAACAGAAGGAATCCAATTGGAAATTCGTGGAAGAACTTCTTAAAAAATCCACTGATACTCAGGTAAGTGTTTAAAGGAAGAAACTGAACAAGGAAAGTGTCAGGGATGCTTTCAGGAAAAGGCAGTGCATGAAACAAAGCCCAACTAACAAGCGTAAATTTGGAATTCTAGTGTTTTTATTACAAGTAAATGAACATCCTTGACGTAGCTGAACTATGGCAGTATCCAGTTCCCTCCTTGTTAGCAGTTACACTTGCTTTAAAGTGGATGTGCTTGATGCTAAACTGTCAGATAAAGGAAAAAGATAATTATCCTGGAAGGGGAGGTATATGGCTACTCAGACAAGATGTATTCAGAATAAAAACTGGATGCTTAGAAAATGTAAACCAGATATGGAATGTAAGGATATCAAGTTGAGGAGACATGATGAGGGAGATAGTCAGTTGCATTGAAAATTCAGCTATATCCTCATCACAGCGGGAAGGTGACTTGCCTTGCTGAGCAATTTGTCTTACAGGCTTGAATCAAACTCTAACTGATAAGGTTCTAGTTTCTGAGCATTCATTTCATACCTTATCATTTTTCTTTCTGCAGAACTGTTAATGCAATGCTTCATGGCCCAGAGGTCAGAACTGACCTCCTTTTAAAATGCTTTTAAATATGCTGTTCATCCTGTTTTTAAATGTTACGTTGCAGCTCTGTAAATTTGTTCTGAGGTTGCATGGTACAAATTGCAAATTCCATATCAGCAACACTTATAAAGATTTCTTTAATTTGTATATGCTTAAGACAAGAATAAACATGTACATTTTTTTATTTGGTCTCAGATAAAATTTAAAAAATCCAGCAAAGTTCTACTGTTGAAAGCAGAAGAGGAATCGGTTCTTTTTTTGCTTATTATTGCCTTGCTCATGCAGTAGCAACCACTGTGATTGAAACAGGAGTAAGAAACAATGCTTGTTACAACTGCAGTTTTTACAAAGAGATATTTTGTAGCTGTTAAGATAGTTAAAACACTAAATAGAGTATTAAAAAGTTCTAAAATGGTGCTATATGTAAACATTTGTGTATGCAGTCATTCAGCTTACAGGGTTAACTCTTTGAATGATTTCATGGTATATAACTGACTACAAGTACTGTGCGTGTACATGGTGCTAGCCATGTGCACTAGCCTTGGTTCTCTGCTGGAAGTACAACACAGCAGAAAGGAGGCAGTCCAGGAGGTTTCTGGAATGTATGGATGACAACTTCCTGTTGCAGCTGGCCAGTGAGCCTACCAGGGGCAGTGCCCTGCTAGACCTAGGGCTGGTGGAAGATGTGGTGATCGGTGGTGAGCTAACTGGGGAGGTCCCAGATGACTGGAGGTTGGCCAGCAGGACACCCATCCGTAAGACGGGCCAGAAGGAGGATCTGGGGAACTACAGGCCTGTCAGCCTGACCTCAGTGCCTGGCAAGGTTATGGAGCAGATCATCCCGAGTGCCATCAAGTGGCATGTAGAAGACCACCAGGGGATCAGGTCCAGCCAACATGGGTTGAGGAAAGGAAGGTCTTGCCTGACCACTCTCACTTCCTTTTATGACTGGGTGACCCGCCTAGTGGATGAGGGGAAGGCTGTGGATGTGGTCTACCTTGATTTCAGCAAAGCATTTGACACAGTCTCCCACAGCATCGTAGAAAAGCTGACAGCCCACAGCTTGGACAGATGCACCCTTCGCTGGGTAAAAAACTGTCTGGATGACTGGGCCCAGAGAGTGGCGGTGAATGGTGCTGCATCCAGTTGGTGTCTGGTGACCAGTAGTGTCCCTCAGGGATCAGTACTGAGTCCTGTTCAACATCTTTATTGATGACCTGGATGAGGGAATTGAGTCTACCCGTAGTAAGTTTGCAGATGACACCAAGGTGGGGGGAGTGTTGATCTGCTGGAGGGTAGGAAGGCACTGCAGAGGGACCTGGACAGGCTGGGTCCATGGGCTGAGGACAACTGGATGAAGTTCAGCAAGACCAAGTGCAGGGTCCTACACTTTGGCCACAATAACCCCCTGCAGCGCTACCGGCTGGGGGGGGAGGGGCTGGGGGGGGGGCGGGGGGGGGGGGGAC